CATAAATCAGTTAAATGACCAAAAAATTAGGTGTCTATTTACTTGTGACCACTCAGTGTAGATGTATAATTTTATGATATTTAAGCTATTTATACTAAACGCTTGTAGTAATGCTTGGAGACAGATTGACTAGGTAATGGAGAATAGCAAATGTACAATATTTCGACAAGGTTTTGTCATCATCATCATCAAAACCTTGTCGAAACGTTGTACATTTGCTGTTATGTTAAATATATATTAAAGTTTTTCTTCATTACCCATTCAAGCTGTCTCCAACCATTATTAGTCTCAAAGTGGGTTCCTCATCATCAAATTTAAACACTTTTAGTTTCCTGTTATAATTTGTAGTCATTCTAGAATGAAAAAAGCATAATTTATATCTATTTCATAAGCTTTTATGGTGGTTACGAGGTGGGTGAAATCAACTAAACCCATAGAGAGATACAATGGTTAAAATAACAAATAAATTAAGTTTTTCCTGAATAAACATTTTTGAAAATTACCTGGAGGTTATTAGGAAGTTATAATGGTTTCACATCTTGGACAGTCAATATTTAAAAAGAAGAAATGAACGAGCAAATAATTAAAAAGTCTTAAAACTTAATATAAGAATCTGATATTTTGTACATGAAAGCCCTGTAATGTTTACTGATAATCTGTGAAGATACACATACTTTTTAAAAGCTAGAGTATGAAAACTATAGCAACCACAAAATTGGTACGAGGTTGGACCCTCGGACTGAGCCTGTAGTGAGAGAGATAACGAAACTTTACATATAAGATATTAAAGTAGGTAATGTTCGTTTAGAAATGTAACTTACCTACTTGCATTTAATTCTCTTATAACCTTTAAAATTCCTCTGGAACAAAAACACTTACCTCTGCATGGATTTCAATCATGTTCATTAGTGTTTCTTTCACATACAGACTGACACCTAGGAAAAAAATTATCTTTATTATTGCATATGGTATAAAGCAGCTAACAAGAAATATCAACTTTTCAGGGCAATTCATTTTCAATGGTTAGAGTGGGTCAGAGGGATCCTTTTTAGTCACTTGGCAGAAGAGAACATTGTTCCAAACTGGGTTCCAAGTGGTTTGTTGTCCAATTGTACTACTTCTGTGAAGAAAACTTAAGTTTCCCTTTTTAAAATATCCTACACACTACTTAATAACCTCATTGCATGAATAGTTCACTTTTGAAAGGCTTTGTGTGTGTGTGTGTGTGTGTGTGTGTGTGTGTGTGTATATATATACACACACACATTAAGTTGTCATGAAATTAATGCCACATTTTGGAACACTTTCATTAACCACCATCCCTAAAACGTACATCATGTATAAGAGTTAAATGAATTGCCTAAACATTACGTTAGTGTAGCCTATATAATATGTAAAGTTTTGTATAATCTAATCCCTTATAGTGATGGCACATGACGAGACATATTGGCATGTAATGCTGTTCGAATACAAAATGGGAAACAATGCCTCTGTAGCCACAATAAATATCAAAGAAATTTATGTAAATGTTTTGAACATTCGTAAGTGTCAATGATGGTTCAGCAAATTTCGTTCAGATGACTTTACCCCTAAAAACTGTGATGGCAGGGGCCGACATGTTGGAATTGATATTGATGCTCTGAAGATGCTTGTCGAGTCTAACCCAAGGCAACACACACTCGTGAAATGGCCCTAAAATTGCATGTCTCTCATGAAACAACACGTAAACATATAAGGAATATGGGAAAACTTAATAAAGAAGATGTTTGGATGCCTCACAAACTCTCCAATGATCATTGTTTCCAATGTGTGAACGTTGCTTCATCTCTTCTAGTGCATAATGCGTGTGAACCATTTTTGGACAGAGTTGTCACTGGTGATGAAAAATAGATTCTCTATGCAAGTATTAAATGCCAAAAATAATTGCTCAGTCCTAGAGAAAAAACATTCCCGATCCCAAAACTTGGACTCTATCCGCAGAAAGTGCATTTGGTGGATCAAAGGAGTAATTCTTTTCAAACTCCTTAATTCACAGCAAACTGTCAATGTAGAGATCTATAGTCAGCAACTGGAACATATAAATCAAGCCCTTCATCAGAAACGCCCTTCACTCCTTAATCGGAAAGGTGTTCTTCTCCACGACAATGCACATCCACATTGGCACGTTGGATGCAACTCAAGATTATGAAGTTGGGTTGGGAAGTACACGAGGGCTATCTGTGCTAGCCGTCCCTAATTTAGCGGTGTAAGACTAGAGGGAAGGCAGCTAGTCATCACCACCCACCGCCAACTCTTGGGCTACTCTTTTACCAACGAATAGTGGGATTGACCATCACATTATATCGCCCCCACAGCTGAAAGGGCAAGCATGTTTGGTGGGACGGGGATTCAAACCTGCGGCTTTCAGATTGCGAGTCAAGCACCCTAACCACCTGGCCATGTACGACCATGGTTTTGCCAGTAAAGGTACAGACTGAAATGATTTATAGTGGGGTTTATATATTTATGTTTAAAAAGTTCAAAGCAACCAAACCAACTTAAGCTCCTCCCCACTTCCTACTCTACTTGTCTCTAGGTGAATGCAAAGACACTTCCAGTTCTTTGCTTACATGGAGTTTCACTAAGTACCAATGGTTTTAAGTATAAAAAAAAATCTAAATATTAATGTTAGCATGTTGAATTATGATTTTTTTTTTCTCAATCTGGCAGAACAAAGGGATGTGGCAGATGGACTAGACAAAAGGAATGAAAAGGACGGAAATAACCAAGGAAGAAAAGGCTTTCCAGAAGCAGGAGAATGGAAGATGTTCAACAGGGCAGCCTTATAATTAGTAACAGTTGAAACAGACAAACCCAGATCAAACAACCAGGTGCAAAACTGGGACAGGTGAGGAACAGAAGAACAGGATGGTCAGAAGCCATGGCAAATAAACCCAAGTCTGAAGTAAGATCAATGCCTCCAGTACATAGAAAATGAGGAAGGGCAAATGGTACAGGCAAAGAAAATTGATACACAAGGGGTGAGTCCCTGAGCAGAGGCAAGGGACCAGACAAAAGCCACACGTGAAGGTGGAGTTTTGTGATGTTGGGATGAAATACATCCTATCGCAGTTGTCAGGAAGAGCAATCAGGACAGAGGAAAGGGCAGGGGCTGTTGTTCTAATAAGGGCCAGAGCAGAGGGTACCACATCTGAGCCGGCCAATATGGAACAACCAGCAGAACAGGACAAGGAGTGGTCTGGATAAGAGAAATGACTCTGGATAGGAATCTGATTGGAGGGTAGGCATATAGGTGAAGACCCTGCAATCTCGACTGAAAGCAACCACACCCAGAGCCGAGGGGTGAGAAACTGGAGACTAAGAGGAAGGAAATTTGGCATTCCAGTGAGTGGCAAACACACATATATATGCAGCGTTCCCTCTTGAGAACACACCCACAGAAATACTGGAGGATGAAGGGACCACTCTGTCACATTATGGTCATTGGACTATTACAGGAGATCCAGAGTCTTCAAACACAGAGATCTTGCTTTGTGATATAGCTGATGACAGTATGAATTGTCTGAATGAAATATAACCACCCACTCCAACATGAGTGGAAGGAAATGATACAGAGTCCGATGAACTGCCAAAGGTTCCGGGATGTTGACATGGAGCGAGCCTCCTCAACTGACCACCGACCCATAATCTCTTTAGAATTAAGGAAAGCCCCCCAACCCACCAAGGAGCATCTGTGAATGGATGAGACTCAGGAAGAGGTAGGGGAATTGGAACTCCCACCGTGGTCAAGTTCTTGTTGAGCCACCAAGCAAGGTCAACCCTGATCTCAGCTTGAAGGGAGATGTGATTGTCTAAGGGACTGTGGGAGAAGTTCCATTGGTCGAGAAGCATCCAATGAAGGGAATGCATGTGCACCCAACCCAAGAGAATGAGAGCTTCCAAGGAAGCCCACATCCCCAAAAGAGATAGAACCTCTCACACAGAGAGAGAGAAGGAGAAAGTAGGGCCATCATGGCTGCCCGCTCCATATCCCAAAGCCAAAGTGGAGTAAGCTGGAGCCAACCGAGATGGAAATTGAAGAGAACTCCCTAATGAATAAGTTTCTGCATGGCGGTAGTAAGGGAGTTCTCCAACTTGGTGAGAAACCTCATCCGAGCAGCTTCTTGAAGAAGTAAGTGGGTGTGAATGACTGACAAAGCATGGTAATAGGTGAGTAGTAACAAGTCGTCCATGTAATGTAGAGCCTGAAGACCCAGCAAGAGAAGAGGACATGTAAAAGAGCATACCATTCAACAAAACACATACAGAGCTGAAGAAAAACCGAACAGCAGTGCCCAGAACTGGAAGACAGAACCCTCTTTGATGAACTGAAGAACATAACACCTGTGCAATTGGAATATAAAGATAGGCATCCATCACGTCAAACTTCGTCATCCAAAATCCCATGGGAAAAAAACAACTGAAGTGAGAGGTAGGACTCCATGGGCAAGCGAGGTGACTCCAGATAGGCATACAACCAGGATAAATCTATGATGGGTCTCCAGCCTGCTGTGTTTATGTATACAACAAATAGATACGAATAAAATCCCGGTTGAGTGGGCAGCACCTGTTCGATAACTCCTTTGTGTAAGAGGTCTCACACAGACTCAGGAAGATGATTGGATGAATTACGATCCTGAAAAGGAGGGAAGGAGATCTGGGAAGTGAATAGTGGGGGAGAGGAACTGAAGACAGAAACATTCAGACAGAACCTGTATAACCCAAGGGACCGTCATGAGTGTTGACAAAAAGATACATAAACTAAACATACTTAGAGAAAGTACTCAATACTAACGAATTAACAAAACCTAAAACAACAGGCAACACCTA